GAGATCAACTCGTTGTCTGTTCAGTTATTTAGTTTGAATTCAACGATCACTGAATATCGACATGGTTCATGACGAAATCGATATTGAAATTAATCCATATCTCCACAGGAACTATAATTTGAATGATAATTTACTTCTCATTACTGGCTGTTGGACGGATGCCCTGAATTGATAATGAGAAGTTTTGGTTAATGGGACCCACTGTTTCATCATGGTAAAGCGGATGCTTATTGATGCCACTGGTCGGTTGTACCACTACATCGTGCTTGAACTGACAGGAGTGAGAATTCACAGGCCGCTTGATTCTGTCCGAGAGACTGAGTAGTCAAAGAACTGACTTCGTGATCTGAAGGCCCTGAGTTCGATCCCTAGAAGGGTTCTGAGCATGTCCTGCTGAAAGGTTTCAAATTAGGATGAAAAAGCTGTTCGTTAGCCCCTGGCTTTCATTTGTTGTCTAAATGAAGTCACTTTGTAGTTTAACTTGAACTCAACCAAATCTCTATAAAGCGACGCTTGAAATAAGTAAATATCATCTCAAATATTTCATCAACCTGTCAGTGCCTCTAGAATTAGAATGTGTACAGTTCTGTACAAAATAAGTCAGTCTTAATTTGATTTGAAGGTAAGGTCGAAAGATATAGTTTATTTATCTACTGAAAGCATTGTTATAAGTGTTACAAGTGTTAATGAAACCTGCTTCCCTGGTTTCAATAAAAATGATGTTCTAAAATGTCTCCAATCTCTGAACCCTTCTTGTAGCCTAGGTCCGGATGGTTTGCCTAGCCTTGTTCTTAAAAAGTGTGCAGACATCCTGTGTTATCCTCTCATGGACATATTTAAGGAATCTTTTTCCAGAAATGTCGTGCCAGCCGTTTGGAAGGACATTAAAATTGTACCTATACCTAAGTCGTCTACTGCAACATGTTTTAAATTTAAACCAATTGCTGTTACTTCCCTTTTTCTAAAAGCTATGGAAACGTTGCTCTTACTTAATCTTCAGCCTTCATTTAAATCCTTTAACGATCCCAAACAGTTCGCCTACAAACACAGTAGAAGGAGTTTAGATGCAGTTGCAGTTTTGTGTCAAAACATTGTCTCCAGCTTGGACAAAGGGGCTAAATTTGTTCGCTGCACCTTCCTAGATTACACATCTGCTTTCGACTCAGTACCTAAGGACATTTTGTTAAACAAGCTTGCTGAAACTCAAACCGACTGTTGGGTTGTCAAATGGCTCCATTCTTATTTCTCAGGAAGAAAGCAGTACACTGTATTTCAGGGAAAGTCGTCCACTTCGTTGCTTACTGAGGCTGGTGTCCCTCAAGGCGCTGTCCTTTCTCCTTTTCTGTTTTCTTTCTTGTTGCATGGCTTGCCTCACTCTGATGAAATGAACTTTGTTAAGTATGCCGATGATCTAACTATTTCAATGTCTGTTAACTCCAAGCTTGACTGTACTAAGATGAACAGCTTTCTATCAGGAATTAGCAAATGGTCTTCGTCTAACGGCCTTAAACTTAATCCTTCCAAATGTCAGACTGTTAATTTCAGTTTCCGATGTAAATGAAAGTTAAATGAAACTGTTGGTTCCTGTGGCCGTTGCAAAATTGATGATAGTGATATAGAAATCAAGTCTGAAGTTAAGTATCTTGAATTAATTCTTTCTTCTGACCTGTCCTCGTCTTCCCACGTCTTTGCGATTTCTAAAAGAATATTTTGTCTGACTTTTTACATTAAGAGGTTAAGGCGCTCAGGCACAACTCAACCAACCCCTCCTCTTACAGTTTGTCAACTCGTGCATCTTACCTATTCTTCTTTATTGTTCACCCCTGCTTATTCTTTCCTGGATTGCTTAAAAAAAGACTATGTCATACTCCGTAGAACTCTGAAGACTGTCAGTCAGTAGTGGGGCGAGTGGTATCCCATTGGGCCATATCGTTGACATTGTCACTATTATTATTATTATTATTGTATCCTTTAATTCCTACAGGAACATAGGGCTTCAGTCGTGCGTCTCCATTGCGTTCTGTTCTCTGCTAGAGTCTTCACCTGGCTACAAGTTTGCCCACACGTTTTCATCTCCTCTTCACATGACCTCCCCCAAGTCACCCTTGGACGACCAACTCGCCGCTTGTCACTAATAGGCACTTGATGTCATGCAACAAATTTGCTAAAGGAATTTTGTCAGACTGTGAGCACCCACTCTACCCGCAGCTCCAACCTTGTGTCTCCTCAGGTAAAACAAGAAGTCTCTTAAGAAAACTTTATGCAAGTAGGTCTAGGTAAAAAATTCCACTATAGCATATTTAACACGTACTTTATGTGATGAAAGTAGTGTTAGGCATGAACTGAATAACCTTCTTTGCACTACTAAATAAACCATTTCCTCCGCCCTTACAGTATCAAACTTTATTGTTATTCTACTTCTTATATTTATAATCCTGTCAAATTTTTGCTTATATTTGTTTATATTTTCTCGTAATTGTGAAGATTATTTAAGCTGTGTTATAACTGTTAATTTTGTATTTCCCCTCACTATACTATATCAACAGAGCATTAGATCCAATAATCTACAACATGCTAAAGTTTCCAAACTGAATCGGCAATACAGTTTGAAACAAACTCACTGTTATTATTATTATTATGATTATATTTAATAATCTCAATTCCTACTTCGAATATTTTTGAATTTATATCGGAAATGTGTACTTTTGTTTTAATTTTTAATTTTATTTATATTTTAAGTAAATCAGAGGCGATATTGTGACAAACGCTGAGAATTCCATTCTGTATTATAAGTACTGTTTTTGGAATAAAGTAGATTATTATTATTATTTACACTTTATTCTTTGAAGATACAGCAGTCTGTCCTCAGTGAAGTATTACGTTAGACAATGTCCAATGTAGTAGTCACCTATGCTTGATGTTCATTGGACTTCTAAACATGCAGTTATTTTCTCTTTCAGCTACACCAAACTGCACATTTTTAATTCATTACTTAACTATATTTGTCCTATTTCTTATGTCCTGAGTGTACTAGGAACGTCTCAAATATAGTGAGGGTATACAACCAAGTATCACCACTATTCTTAATCAACAGAAGGGTTGGACAGGGTTGGCTTATTTCACCATTTCTCTTTAACTTTGCTATTGATGATATTCTGCAGACAGCTGTGAAGGACGTGCGTAGTCGTGATGTAGGTCTGCTTCCTGGTGAGAGGCTTTTTGACCTCGAGTATTCAGACGTCATCTCTGACTGTGCAATAATATACAGGTTGCCCAAAACGCACTTAATCATTTGGCGACCAGTATTTATCAGTAAGATATGCTGTTTGTGGTGTCTAACTTCAAAAATATTAGTAGTGCTCGACTGAATAAAAGGGTTGTTTTTCAATTATTTATCATCAGGATATGTGATATCAGATACAACTGGGAAATACAATGTTATTGTTACCAGAACAAATTCGGAAATTTTATGGACACAGTTCAAAGTCACTGATATAACCGACTTTGTGAACTGTATCAAAGGATTAGGTGTTTAGGGTAAAATGGCTAGATGTTCTGTCTAAATTTAGGTTTCTTTCCTGCTGATACACATCAGCATTTTATCCCTGCAGTAATGAAGAAGCTTATCCGCTCCCTTGTTGGTTTGAATGGACACTATCTTCCTGAATGGACAGAAGCATGAAACCTCAAGCTGCATATTGAAAACAAGTAAAACTCTGGACAAAGTGTAACCATATCACTTAGATCAGTGACCTATTTGCTGACATTTGTGCGCATCCATATGGTGAAGATTTGGCCTCTTGGCTTAAGTACTTAACATTTAACCAGTGGGGCCCATTCTGGTTTCAAATTCTACCCTAACCGCCTCAGCCTGCGCAACTAGTTATAGTATCATTGGTCCTCACACAACTTTTAATTCACAGCCTGATGCATAAGAAATCTGTTAGAAGTCGATAGTTAGTTTCCGTAACAAATTGCAACCAGAATTGTGCTTAGCTTCTTAAATAGCATAAGCACCACAAAACCAAACAGTTTTATTCCTATCAACTGTGCCAGTTGGGGTGGAAAGACAGCCATTTTCACGAGTATTTGAAATACATTTATATTACAACCTTAAAGAGATGGAATTACTTTTATTATTCCTTTATGTCCCAAGTGTGCGTTGGTGGCACAGTGGTTAGGACGCTAGCTGACCATGCATATGGTCCGGGGTTCAATCCCCGGCCGACACACTCCTCTACCTCGCCTAGCCAGTAATAGAATTGTCAAAGAAGGAAGGTTGGGCATGATACTAGCAACCCCATCCTGTAAAAATAAACCATGCTACCGAAACTTCGAGCATCTAGGTTGAAGCCCTATGTTCCACTGGGGACGTGAAGGAAAAAAATGTCCCAAATGGAACACAGAGTTTCACCAGCACGTATTTATTTCATCCTGCTTTCCACGTGTGTACACAGACTTTCATCTCCTTCTCAAGTAATCTCTTCTATATCACCTTCGAACACATGTCCCACTCATCGTTTCCCTTTCGGGTTCCATTTGAGTGCTTATCAGCTGTGTGCTTCCACTTCACGGTCTCCTCAGTGTATGTCTAATCTATCCCTGTTTCCTTCTTTATATCATATTGGCGACATGTTCTTGGTTGTGTCGTTCCTGAATTTCCTTGTCGCCTATCTTTTCTGGCCATCTGAGCTTCAATACTGAGCAGGTGCAGACAGCTGCTGATGGAAGTTTGAAGCCTGTTGTGAATGCTTTCGGTGACTAGCCAAGTCTCTCAATCATATAGAAGCAGTGCCTGGATAGTGGTGTCGAAATTCAGAATCATATTCTTTACGCTGAGTGCTCTGGTCCTCCCCACCGCTTTCACACTAATGAAGGTCTGTTTTCACAGAGATGTAATCAACAAACTGCATGACCTGTTTTCTGTTTTATGAAACATAGTTAAAGAAAAAACGGAAATCTACTGAACAATTTGTGATTTTCGGTGTATTTCTCTGAGTGTACTTTTGAAAAAAAAATACTCCACACCGGCTAACAGACAAAAACACGGGTAAATGTACAACACACACTCACACGCACATTGATATCTGTTTATCTGATTACATAATGATTATACATAGTTAAAAAATATACATTAAATAATTGTCTCTGAGAAGGAAAGAAATAAAAAAAGAAAGAGGTGAAGAGAATAATTACAATACTTTCCTTTCATGCACATAAACCATAATGAAGTAGTATCTATTGAGTAGTTCTCACAAGTACGTTGTCTATTCAGCAGTCCTGTTCAACAGCACTATACTTCAGGAGGATGTTCATCGTCACACACATACATGCTCATACACATAACCTCAGTAGAAATCATCTCTATGTGAGTAGATGAATAAATCTCATTTCATTCATACTAGATAAATGGATAAATCATGTAATCAAGTAATGTAAACTATTGACGACTATACATAAGAATATGATCAATATTTTATTGATTTTCTTCCCAATTTCACCTATAAAATAGATAAAAGGAAATTTTTAAAAAAATTAAAGAGAAGTAGAAATATCAATCATGATTACACTTAATTATACATCAGTACAAATGATATGTTGAACATAGAGTTTTTTAAATAATAAATTGAAAGGGTTTGATCGGTTACATGTCTGATCATGAGAGAACCATTAGAAAACTTGGGAGTATAGGACAGTTGTTTCATCCACCTTGTGACTAGAATGTTCTGGGTTCAAACCCCAAGGGATGCATACTGATGAGGAGTCGCAAATCAGTGAGAAATACCTGTCAAGTACTCCCAGCTTCTGAAGTGGTTCTCTAATTGATGTCAGCCAGTAACCAAATCTGTAACTATCATTTTAGACAGGTTAGGGGATGTAAACAGCTTAGATTGTGGGTGGTTATTTTGAAATTCAGTTTCCTTGGAGGACGTTTCTCTGAGATTTCAGACAGTATTCATGGGATCACCTATACTTCACCTCCTCGTAAGTCAAATATTCACTAATGATAGTGTTTACAAGAACAGTGAATATATAATATTCCTATAGCCATATGTTAGCGACGCTTTCTTATATAATCCAAAAAGTTACTGATATAAAGCACTGTAGATATATTTATGCCACCTAATATGTAGACCAACATTTTGAAGATTCCAAGATGTCTAGATTTTCTTGATGAACTGCTAAGTATGAATAGGCATTAAGGAATGACAGATGAGCGTTAAACAGCTTTTTTTCATGTTTCAGTCATGGGAACTGACTTCATGAAGAACTCTTTACTATTCAGTCACTGAGTATTTCTTAATGCGACTTTTTTATTCCTTCACGTTCCCCAGTGGAACATAGGGCTTCAAGCTACAGCCTTGAAGTTTCTGTAGCAGTGGAGTTTATTTTTATAAGATGAAGTTGCTAGCCTCATGCCCAACCTTTCCTCTTCACCAGCTTTATTTCTGGCTTTAAATGCTTCCCTTAATATTCTCCGTCAGTGACTACTTCTCATTAGTGATTATTAGCGTAAAAGTTCATCATGAAAGCTAGTTTACTAGAGGAGATCAGTGAGTTATTAATCTAAACTTTGTTGGTAACTTACGACAACCTATATGTAGAAATTCCAGAAGATGTTTAAAGCCAGGATTTGAAAAGCTTTCTCCAATACTATCAGAAATCGATAAGTGTGCTGTAGAAATGTTCAATGATCATCATTATTTTTTCGGAAACCTTGTTTTATCTAACTATTTTTTTATTCCTTCACGTTCCTAGTAGAATTTAGGGCTTCAAGCTAGATTCTTGAAGTTTCTGTAGCAGTGGTGATTATTTTTACAGGATGGTGTTACTAGCCTCATGCCCAACCTTCCCTCTTTACCAGTCTTCATTCTGGCTTAGCGAGATAAAGGAGTGCGTCAGCCGGCGATAAAACCCCGGACCACCTGCGTGGTCAGCGAGCAGTCTACCGCTGTGCCACTGACGAACTTACTATCTTTCAATCTTGTCTTATCTCATTTCGTATTTTCCATGTTTCGTTCGAGATTCCTTTCACTTCTGTGATGTTGTGTAGAACGTTTCATCTGTAGACTTTGTGAAAATTTGATCGTATTATTTTCAGGGTTCTTTGTTTATCGATTTATCTGTCTATGTGTTCCTCATTTTCAAATACATCAGTATTGATATGACATGCTTGCTTCGTTCAAGGTTAATCCTTATTTCATGAAGGTTACCACCCGTTTAAGAAGTAACTACGAAAGAAATATTAGGCAAACCTGAGGTAATTTTGACGAATAAACTTGTCACTTAATATCAGCCTGGTGAGTTAGTAACCTCTATACGCGCTAGCTAAATTCTCTCCGCCAATTTTATCAATATGACTGCTAAAATAGTCGACATAATACTGTGACGATGATAGTTGGAGTCATTCCACAGAATCTCATGCTTTGAAAAGTTCCAATTCATGTCAACACTGATCACTCCAGCTTATCTCAATTTATGCAGGTACTGATTTTAGAAAAAACACACATGGGCAAGGAATATTCTTTGCGCAACTTCCCTTCGAAGCTGTGTTGTCAAATGGTCATGAAAATGACAATAGATGTTACCCATTAATATCGATTATTGGATCACCAAGATAGGTTAATGTAATAATAATTTGTTTTTGCCTACACAGGGTGAAGGCTTCAGTTTACTGATAGCTTTCGCCACTGAATGCTTCACTAAACGCTCCCAACTGATTTATAGATAGTCGTGAAAAACTATTTCGATATCGATCTTACGCTTCGTATATCAAACATGAATTTGTCTATAGACAGGGTGTGTCTATAGTCTGCTGTCTGTGTTTATCAAAGTTTTAAAGTTCAGTTGTTTTTGAAACCTTTTGTATACATTTATCCTACCACCCTCACGAACAATTCGTGGTTACACCACCCTATATATGTGTGTGAACACACAGTTTGGGATATGACAATAATTTATGCATTGTTGAGGCTTGTGGCAAAGTATACTTTTTGGCTTTTCCTGTTATTATAAGCTGGGCTGCACGGTAAAGTTTACACATGACTGAATCTGGTTTGTCATAAAATCCTCATTTGATGTAGACACTTTTGCTTGGGAGGAAATAAACTGTACCACTGGAAACTAACTGAACTGCACAGTGGTTCAAAAACTTCAAAGAATATCCACTTTCGACAGGTGTGTCTATCAGTATTGTATTCTCATTACCTATAGCATCGACTTTATATAAATACGTTAAGTTCTCTTGGATAAACACTTAGCTAAGCTTCTTTTATATTGTACCGGACAAAAACTATGAAAGTTTATGCTTTGCTATGCCCAAGTAGACTTTCTGTGAATCGACCGTTTTATTGAGCCATCTTCTTTCCAACTCAAAATTATGTCTAAAAATGCAAGTTGGTTGTAACTGTCTTCATTCCATTGTAACACTCATCTGATTTGTACAGAGGTAACTCTATCAAGTAGGCGATTCACATCTTCATACTTATTGCCTATCATACTAATATGGCCAACACACCACCACTTAAGAGGTACCATACCAATCAAATCGCTGGACAGATTTTCAACGTATTACATATCCACATCAGACAACAACGGTTCTAATGAACTGCTTTCACTCTTCATGTAAACTGATTTGACAAAAAATTGTGTAATCAGATGCTTCCAAATGTACTATACAAGCGCATCACATTTTTTCAAATAAACCCCGTCTTTTAATATAATGGTATCAAAATTTGACAGAGGGAATAATTATAGTTGTCGTCGTTACTTGTATATTTCAGTTTTTACCTAACCACAATCTTCATATATTTACTCCCTTTTATGAATCTGAATAAAGCAAGAACAACAGTGGTTTGTGCAGAATAATATGGTACCATCAATTTATTTATTTTGTTGGCTTCTCACCAGCTGCTTACAGCCTAAAGGAATTATTAAGTTTATATACAGGACAATTTAAACGTGTTTGCAAATTTTACATGATGTCAGTTGACAGAAGGCTCCGCAATAAGTGAACAGTGCTCAGAAAATTACTCCTTTTTAGTTTTTACATAGGCAGTTCAAGTTTAAACAAAGTAAATGTATGCATACAATGGTAAAGGAGTTACGCAATAAAGGCGAGAGATGCGTAAGATGCTGAGTGACTAATAAATTAGGTAACAATGTACTGAGTTCAACTCAATTCATAGAAACAAGAGACAAGCAAACTTACACTTTTTCAAAGGGGTGAGAATAAAGCCGAGGATTACGTAATCAAACGAGAGGGAATAAAGACATCCAGTTACCAGGGCAAGCAAAGACTGAAAACTGCTTCTTTCTGAACACATAAATCCAGTTTCAAGAGTTTGATAGTGATCGTTGTGGCAAACTTGAGGAGGATTCAGCATTTTTGTCTATTGATAATTTTAAATGATATTACGATTTTCACCTCATGACCAACCCGTATCAAGGAGGTGCCTGGTAATCGCCCTACTGTAAGCGTTTGTTCCCTTGTGAATTAGGTTTTTCATTACATATTCAGAAAATAGAAGTTTTACTCTGCTTTCTGTTCTCCCAATGTTATTGTCAGCTGACATCATGTAAAATTAGCAAGTATGTTAAAACTTTTCTATATACAAAATTAATAACAACCGAAGTCTATCGACCATTTTAACAAACGAATCTTGTTGTGAATAACATAGAGAAGTCTAGATATGATGAAAAAAATCACACGAAGTTTTATAGGATTGATTATAGGACATCATTAAGTAGGTTATCAACTTAGTTATTATGTTCAGTGATACTTCATAAGGAAGGTTATTTGGTGAGTAATGATACTCGTTGCCCAGTGGTTGTTCCGACTAAAGCTTACTGCTCTGAGCAATGAACTTTCAACTATTATTTTTTAGAGATGAGCCCTTTTCCTTCAATTATTGAAGTTCTAAAAACCAGGTATTAGCATCAACTTTCAATGTCATATGTAACAAAATATACACGCAATTGGAGGATCGTTATGGTGCCTTAGACGACAGTTTGTTTGTTAGTATCTCAGCATAAATGTCATCATAACTGAACGATGATCACATGCTCATTCTAGTCATATTCTCCAAAAGGACAGAGTTTGTATTCTAGTTCTCATTGTCAGTTACCGCTAATCAAATCATAAATGAGTTGTCAACTGGTAAAGATTGCAGGCATAAAGATATGTGTGAATGTATGATCTGTTCCTCAGGGTCATATACTGATCAAAATTATTATTAAAAAATCAAACCAACTTACCGGCATCATGAAATTCATAGACACCGAGAAATCCTGTTCTGACATACATCCCGTTGGAGAAGAATTTTAAATTTAAGCATGGTTCATACCACTGAATTTTATATGGGCTTAAATGGCTTTGTCTATGACATAATCGACGTTTCGGTGAAGTTAATAATTCCACTGGATAACAACTGCTAATTTCAACGCTGTCACCCATTGTATCGTCTGTACAACTGGTGAAATGAAATGAAAAAATAAGGGAATAATTGAATATTACTGACAGGCAGTGAGTATGTGTGTTGCATAGAAGCTTTAATTTTCGAGCAATATTATTCCAGCAGTCTGACCAACAATAACAAGCATAAATTACGTTTATCAATGGGAAGAAGCGTCAAACTACCGAAGAGGGATGACTGAGGCATCTGTAAGAACTGGCACGGAACAATGATCTTGTCCATATCGAGCCACGTCTTCCTGGAAAGACTACAAGACACACTGTATGCAGTACTCCACTCAGAAAAAGCTAAATTCAGGTGAAGTTAGTCAAGTGCTGGTCAAATTGCAACTCCACGCATCATTGTCGAACAAAGGATAGAATGGTAATCAAACATCTACCTCAATTTGATTCACTTTGAATAGGTCTTAGACAGTGTTGACTGTGATGTGATTTAAGAACTACTTCAACATTATGGCGTGAAGTGTTCCAAGTCTTTTTTAACCTCATGCAACAGATACTTGGCAAGTGATCCACAACGAAAAAGTGAGTGAAGTCTTTGAAGTCAAGGCACAATGGAGTAAGACGAGCCTGCCTACCGTCACTGTTGGTATTCCTAATGGTGGTGAATTGGACAATTTGTCAGATTAGGACTAACGAGAAGACAGGAATACGTTGGACTGATGAGAAGAATCTCAAAGATCTGGATTTCGCGGATGATTTACGTCTAATGTTATATAAACTCGAAGACTTAAAAGTGAAAACCAATAATCTGACAGGAGACGGAGGCAACGAAGACAGGAATTCCTGGGAACATAGAGAAGACGGGGGTGGTATAGATAACCAGCATCAGCATCAATTACTATGGAGTGAATAAATTTGAAAGAGATTACTTCCTCCACTTATCTAGGCAACATCACTTCAAATGCAGACAGTAGGCACGGATAGAGATGTCAAAACTAGAATCGGAAATGGAAGACAAAACTTCATCACTCTGAAATCACTTTCTTAATCAGATGCATTAGATGTAAGTAGCGAATTTCTGGTTAGGTTACCACTTCTGTCTGCGTCCGAAACTTGGCGCACTCATCACAGAAAGCATTTCCAGCAGATTGTGGACGTTTATCAATAGTTGCCTTTAGTAGCTCCATTTTGAGGATCAGATATCCAGAAAGGACTAGCAAACACCAGGAAACTGTGGGATAAATGTGGGAGTCAACCAAGAACTACTTACTGGCCCAACAAATATGTAGCCAAAAATGGGTATGGAGCGGAAACACTCTGGGGAAATTGTCGGGTGACATCACGCTCCAGGCCGTCAAATGGAATCCCAATGGGAAATGATGAGTTGTGTATGAATCCAAGGATATTATAGAGGCGATCGTGTGAGGAGGCTATGAGAGGCTATGGGATATTGTGGGACTAGCTGAAGAGGACATCAGAGAAGAGGACGAAGTGGAGATGGATTGTTGAAAACATATTTTCCTCCCATGGGAACAACATAAGTAATCTGTCTGTCTGCCTGTTTGTTTTCGACATTGAACTTTGCACCGATGTGCACCAGTTCGAGTCGCCACACTCCATGTAGCACACAAAGCAAGAGAAGAAAGTGGAAGAAATGTATAATAGACGCAGTGAACAGAGGTGTGAGACAAAGGAATAGTAGTAACGAAGAACGATATAGTTTCATTTAAAATCATAAGTCACAAGGAGTGGATGCATCTGCGCCATTGAGAACGATTTTGAGCCACATCACCAATTGTTTCCAACCATTGGTTTTTACCGTCCCGAGGACCCCAACCAGGAAGTCTACATTAATAATAAATAATGATGAGGCGGGAGAATTCAAAAGAAAGTCATTTCTTCCACCCACCCAGCCTAGGAAGCATCGTTTCAACGATGGGCTGCACAGATGAGGATGTCACAACCAGCTGGGGTCGGAAAAGCAAGAAAGGCCTCCAATATATTCAATATAGGGAGCATGACTAGAGTCCTTAAGATTAATATCAATTTAGTGATCCTATAAGGATCTGAGGCTTAGCTATCGCCTAAAGAACAGGTATTCCAACAACATTTTCAACTGATGACTTCTACGCCTCTATACGAAAGATTAGATGATCAGCAAAACAGGATGACCAAAAAACTGAAAGCTCTGGGAACGAACCAACCAAGAACCTATCACCCAATAATTATGCAGAATTATAAGAAAAAGACGTAAACAGCGAAGAAAAGTTTCTTTCTGACGATTCATTTTCATAAGATAGTAAAAAAATGCAAAAGTATAGTAAAAACTTTACTCTGGCCATCGTAGGGCGAGTGAATATACATAGCGCTTTTGAATGCTGAAATCCGGTTTCAGATCCTTAATACCTAATGATTCAGCTATGTACAGATGGCGTGTGCGAAGTCTTTTCCTAGGATATTGAGGTACTGTGTGTAGCACTGTGAAGCATTCATGCGGGGGTGCTCGATGTCCGGATATGACAAGGTGTTCAAGGACGGGTCTGCTGCTATTCTTCTTTTCTCCTCTGGCTAGCCAGCCAAGCTGGATAGTGTTCCAGAATACTTTTGTGGATTTGACGTTGCGTACGGCCGATATACATTGCTCCACACGAGGTAGGAAGTGGATATGGACTTCATATATGCTGACGACACTTTGAAGTGGCATCATGCACCGGGATTTGAGGTATCCTACTGCTGTGACGCATTAATGCTAACACTATAGCATAATTGTAGGTGTGTTCAAATAAAAATATAAGCTCAGAATCAAAAGCTACGATTTACTGTATATTCTATTCAAATAATGTACTTCTGAAGGTAGTTAATTTATCAAGAACACAAAATATTTTGTCGTGTCACTTACAGTAAATCGTATAAAATCGCTCTAATAACTTGGATAAAGTGTCTCTGTACACAGCATTTAAGATAACTTTTGTCTTGTATGGCTAATCAGTAGCTTAGTGGATAGTGCTTAGGCATTTGAAACTTTGAGAGGTACTTTCCAGTATCAGCAGGAATAAAATAACTCTGAGAGAATGCAGATACATCCAGCTGAAGAGTATTGGACAGAGTGAGACGGACATTTTGGATTCCCCTAATAATCACCATCAACTAAATAATGTCAAAATAATTTTTTCGCCGTCCTGCATAGTAATTCTAGTCTGATGACAAATAACCCCATACAGTGCTAGTGATCGCTGTTCGAACTCAAGAAGAACGTATTCATCAGTTATTGAAGATCTTCTTGATGCATTTGAACAGTCTTCAGTTTTCGCATGTCTTATGACATTCATCAGTGAAATATTGCCGACAAAATTAACATCACTGAAATTTGTTCGAATCCGTTACTGTCACGGGAATGGTTTAGAGCATAAAGAACGCTGATCGTTTCCATTTGTTGATAACTAAATACTGTCATGCCATCAAGTGAAGCAAGCTGTCTTTACAGCACAAGTGCTGAAACACATCAATGTAGGAAAGGATAGGAGAGGATTGCCGGACGGCAGGAATATCTGAATAGTAGTCGACTCTCTGACATTTGGATTTGTTATATTAGTTAACTTGTCAGACTGAACACAAGTCAAAGCTGTTACGTGCGTCGGTGGTACAGCGGTAGAATACTCGCCAACCACGCCTCATGTGCTCCGGGGTTCGATCCCCTGCCGAAGCATTTCTTCACCTCACTAAGCCAGTAATAGAACTGGTGAAGAGGGAAGGTTGGGTATGAGGCTGGCAACTTCCTCCCGTAAAAATAAAAACCACTGCTACCGAAACTTCAAGCCTCTAGCTTGTAGCCCTATGTTCAACTGGGAATGTAAAGAAGTGTAAAAAAAACAAAGCTGTTAGGTTGTTGAAAGCGAAAAGCAGGAAATCCTGGAATTATATTTCATGTCGATTATAAATTCTCAGGATACAGCATCTACGATCTCGAAAGAAATGATGCTTTCTCGTAGATTCGGATCCAGGTCACCTACGGATATAGTCGAAGGGGTTACCACTGAGTTATTCTGAGTCATGACGGATCCGCTGGCCCGTGGTTTCCAGCCTACTGTCTCATTTGTTGACTACATTGTAAACTTGAACGATAAAATTCAGTCAGCAAGGATACTAAGAACTAGCCATCGGTAACTGGCTACTCTTTTTTGACCAATCTATGCATGCATCAAAGTTACATGCCTAGATTTGGGTCATTGTGGTGTAGAGAAAGTCTTGGAACAATTGGAAGCAGTTTAGCAGGATAAGGGATACTGTTTGTACCTGACTCTCAGTCAGTAGGAAGCCCCATCCGGAACTAGGTTTTAGAGTTGCCAGTGTTGATCAACAGCAATCAGCATAAATTGGAGGAACCTGAAAGAAACAACCTCCTTTATTTACTTGAGAAGCATCGTTTCAACTATAAGCGGAACTGACAAGGATATCAAAGCAAGACAAGCTTTCACCACTCTCAAGTCTGTGTGGAGGACAACAACACTCAGCATGAAAAATAAGATCCGGATTTTCAACTCCAATGTGAAGTCAGTGCTACTCACAATACGGATCAGAGACTTGCACCTCGTGTCATAAAGAGCATGTCAAACAAACTACAGACCTTCATTAACAGTTGTCTTCACTCAGTACTCAAGATCAGATGGCCAGAAAAGATCAGCAACAGGGAGGGATCTCTGGGAGCGAACCGATTGTGAAACAAATAGGTAGGAAGAAATGGAGGTGGATTGGCCATACTCTGAGGAAACCATCAAGTGACATCACTAGACAAGCCATTGCTCGAGTGGAACCCGAAAGGGAAGCGGCGAGTCGGTCGTCACTGTGAGGGTGACTTGGAGGAGGTCATGTGAAGAGGATGTGAAAGCGTGTGAGCAGACTTGGAGCCAGGTGAAAACTTTAGCAGAGAACCGAGCGCAATGAAGACGTGCAGCTGAAGCCCTATGTTCCTCTAAGAATTAAAGGAAATGATAATATTAATAGCGTTGATCGATAACTGACGTTTGTAACGGTGCTACCTATCATGTATCACCTCAATTTTCATCTAACTTCAATTCATGCGGCTGTTATTTTTACTTCAGAAATGCCTGACATAAGTACATCGGAGAATAACTCATCGGTTTTGAAATATACAATGTTATATTTAAGTGAGTAAACGTAAAATAAACAGATTTAAATTAGGACTTACGTTTTAGAGGTACTTTCTACATCAAATTCTAAAAATACAATATCGATTCTCTTCACATTGATACCAAAAAATCTATATTCACAAGTTAGGTCAATTGGATATAATCCAGGATAGTTTGGTGATGTAAAATTGCCTTTCATCGATTGTGATCGATTAAATTCAAAAAAGCATCCTATGAATAAATAATTGTAGTGGAAAGCAACATAAATTTAGATTTAAATAAATTGAAAAGTATCGATTGATTGAATCATTGGTGTATGCGATAGAGATAAAATAGGGATAAAACACGTAATTCTATTTTATATTGGTCATGAAGTTGAGGATAACTTCACTAGAACTACTGTAGGTGTCTCTTGGTAGTTATATTCAAAATTTTCCCATCTGTCAGCATATGTCTATTATTATCCCTTTATATTTGAGTGTATATACAGTCAAACCGAAGCCCAAAGTAATCAATCCACGTAGAGTAGCACATATTGCATGGTTGGAGTTCACATGAGAACCCAGATAAATAGTTAAAAAAACCTTTTGAGATAATGTTTCATTTCTGATAACAGTCGGCGTAAAATCATAGTTCAAGATGCCGTGTTTACTGGCACTTGTCGACATGTTGCGTCTGCAGTCTTGAAAGGGCTGATATTCCCTCTGAGATTAGAATCCACTTCACTCAGTGATGCAGTAAGAGATGTTGCTACTGAGCTCTTCGAGTGCACAGTTGGCCTCCTGTAAGATTTTGATTATGATATCAATTGGTTAATAAGGCGAAGATTGTTTTATATGTCTGTTTCTTCTTATTATTACTTCGCTGGGTTCAATATAGTGCTGAACTCTGCAACTGGGCCCACGATTGCCCATAATCTCTCATCTCCTCAATGTCACCCTCTCACAGATGACTCACTCGTCGCTTCCCATTGGGATTCCACTTGAGCAATGGCCTGCATTGTGCGCAATTTCATTCCTCAACGCCTGCTCTATCCACCTTCATTTGATTCCTACATATTTATTGAGCAATAGTTTCGCGCCTGTTGATTAGTTCCCATCCATAGTTTCTTATTACTAATTCTTTCTGACCGGTCGGCCATTTGATCTTTACTATGGACCCAGCGAAGGTGGCAGCTGTTGATAAAAGTCTACAACCTGGTGGAAATCCTTCTCGTGACTGACACGCAGTACAAGTTTATGACCCATATAGAAGAACTAACTGACTGACTTCACATTTGTACTGAAAATCTGAATCGTGTTCTTTACGCTAGCTGAGTGCAGAAGACTGGTTTCAGGTTGATGAAGGTGTATCTTGCCTTTCCAACTTGATAGCTTCCGACTGCCTGTGGTTGAAACGATGCTTCCTGCTGGTTGTAATTGGCACTGGTTGTTGTTGCTGTTGCTATCGGTTGGTTATCTTCATCATCTCCGTCTTCTCTTTGTTCACCTCGAGTTCTTCCTTCTCTCCCTGCCACTTCAGCCAGTTTGTTGGTTTTCGCCTATAAGTATTCGAGTGTGTGTGACATTAAACATTAATCATTTGATAAACCCAGATCTTCTACGGTCTTCTTATCGTCTTGTCTCCACACTTCCAAGATATCATCGGTGATAATAGGCAGCCTTGTCTTACTCCTGAATGCATTTCGAAGGGCACACTGAGTTTTCCGTTGTGGATCACCTGACACGTGACATTGTCATAAAGCTGTTGAATGACGTATATCTGTTCCTCAGTGGTGCTGATTGAATTCTGTTAGCGGTGTACCTTTTGAAACTTTGAATGATATGGTTCAGAATCCATTGTTTTCACCGGCACATGTGCTATTCGTTATATTATCTGTCTTTATCTGCTTTATCTTTGCTTTATTCCTTTTAAAGCGTTCTCAGACTTTTGACTACTTCATCTTCATTATTTCACACAGTTTACTTATTGTTCAGAGATTGGGGCTGAATGAATGTGTTTTGCTATGCAGCAGTTCTCATACGTTTATATTCACAGTATCTGTTCACCTGTCATACTGTGGCGTGTACTACTGATAAGATTTATCAGTAGTAAATAAAGTGATGTTCATCGGCCTAAAGGCATCAAATGGCTGGGAGACGGATTCGATGTCAGAGAAAGCAAATGATACAGCATTGTAGAGAAACATGGGAGACTTGAAAGGAAGACGAAGAAACACAATATGAAGAACAGAAGTTGCACAACACAGAAGACCTGTGCAAATGATGCCTTGAAGATAAGGTGGGCATAATTTCCCTATATACCCAGCAATTCTTAGATATGCCGACTTTACTCTACGATAAACTTTAAACCCTACTTATTATGTACTTATGGAGCATACTTCAAGTAAACGTGGAGGAGACAACGATGATGATGGCTCCTAACTAACAGCAACAAGCATCAGTTGCCATCAACGGGGAAAATCTGAAGGAAGTGACTCCTTTCACTTATCTAGGAAGTTCTCAAAGCCAACCAAGATCGGAAACTCATTACAGACCTTCATTACTTTATAGTCAGTAGTCTGAAAATCTACGACTTTTTTGTGTGTTCGAGGGTGACATAGAGTAGATCATATGAGGAGGATAATGACAGGCTATGGGCAACTGTGGAGCCTAACTGAGAAGACTACAGAAAACGGAATGAAATGTGGGCGTGCTTTTAGAGTCCTATGTTCCACTAGAAACCCAAGGGAGTAATAAAATAATAATAAATTATATACATATATGTATATTTATACATTCTTTGCTTTTCGTAACAAAGGGAACATAAGTCTCCAAACTTCGTGCTTTTGAAGTTTTCTATGGAGTGGAGTTGCTAACCTTACGTCCAACCTTCCCTGTTTACGATCTTATTGTCAGCAGAGTGGTTTAAGGGTGAGTCTGCTTGAAATCGAACCCTGACCATGTAAGTGGTTGGCGAGGATTCTACTGGTACACCAACTACATATACATTTATAAACATATATCATTGAAATTTATACGGAATAATTGGATATTTGGCTTACCTGGTTTACGCTGATTGCCAAAAGTAGCTGTCACACCATAATCTGTAAGAAAATAATATAATTAATATGTTTAATGACACCGGTATCTATGGAAAACTTTGAAAAGAAGTGTGCTTATTGAGGACACTATTGAATTGAATGGCTGTTTAATATTTAGAACACATCGATCTACCCAAATGAACACTGTTAGTTTACTTGGTTGCCCTTCAGACTACTTATAGTTATCAGTAGTAGAAGACTTTAAAATGTTATATAACTGGTTGCCATGAAAATGTCTCCTGTTTTCCGATTACTCAATCTCTTTAGTGTCGTTTGATATTTGACAAGGATGAACCTTATCACTCAGTCAGTGGAAAGCCTTATCTCATCCACTGGTCTTACATTTCTAAACTGTCGTCAGAAAGGCGTATCTGAAAAAAATATTGGAATTTGAACAAGAATGTAAACCCAGAATCATTTTATTTTTATTGTTTTATTCGTCTTCATTCCAAGTGGAGCATAGGGGGCTTCAAGCTAGAGCTGTGAAGTTTCAGAAGCAGTGCTTATTTTTACAGGATGAGATGGATAGCCTCATGCCCAACCTTCCCTCTTCACCAGTTCTACTACTGGTTCATTGAGGTAAAGGAGTGCATCGGCTGGGGATCGAATCCCAAATCACCTGAGTGATTGGCGGGCGTTCTCTGCTATGCTACCGACGCACATAAACCCAGAAAAAGCAGAGTTTTCTACTGGCTGATATCTGAATTTATGCGTCGGAACATACTCTCTGATGGTATAGATCAGTCTCTTACCTCTTGACTTGATAGTTAAATCGCATACACCTACTGGAAAATACACTTCAGACACCACTTGTAGTTAGACTTTTATACCAGGGTTTGTATGCGATACGAACAGTATGCATGATAACTAAATCACTCATATTTAACCTCAATTTGAAAAACGACTAGTCAGTAAATAAATAGACAAAAATCTAGTGGGACAACTAATCACGGCCACGGCCGTCCCTAAGTGAGAAAAATATTTCCTCTCTGGGAAATCACTAAGTCTCCCTTCACGGTGGATTTATCCCTGAAAATCATCCAGCTCAAAGAAAATAACAACATCGAAGAATAGAGAGAATTTTTCTCCTTGTTTGACTAATTAACTATCAATACCATTAAGCATTTACGTGTTCAAACCATTACTTTGAAGGTCGGCAGAGGTGGCACATCTAGTGATGTTTATTTGTACGCAGTCTAAGAATCCCAAATTGGTTGCTTTCCAGATATCAGACTGAAAGTAGGCGGCATGTTGCTAAGCTATTCAAATAGATTAGAAAAAAATCCTACTGCAAAAATATGGGGGAGATATGTGGATGACACTTTGGGTCACAGTATTAAAAACACAACATATCTCTAGCTTCTTCACACATATAAACTCACTAGTAAAGGGAATACAATTTATATTTGAAACAAAAAATAAACAAGGAGAATTAACTTTGTTAGATTGTAAAAACAAAACGAACAGAATTAGGTAAACTGCACACTAGCGTTTATGAAAAGCAAAGCCAACGCATTCTAATAGATATTGAGACTTTAATTCATGTCAACAAATTCCTTGTATGTTAAGGCTGGCTTAGTTAAGTGTCTAACAAACCGAGTAATAACAATAGTTAGTACAACAAAAAACCTAAACGATGAAATGAAACAGATAGAAGAGGCGTTGGTGTTAAATAATTATCTATCCTATAAAATTCATTAGAAATATCAAAAAAGGTCAAAAGCAAAATAAAAATAATGGGGAAACTAATAATGATAACATAAATAAGAAAGAATATAAGGCATCTACAGTTATACCATATAAGGATGGGACATCTGAGACCCTACGTAGGACTCTTAATAAAGCAGGAATTAGAGTGGCATTCAAACCTGCAAACTCAATCTCAGGTAGGACAAGCTCTGTAGGCTAAAAGAACCGGTGGACCCAATTAAACAAAATAATATAATTTACAAAATACCTTGCAATGACTGTGAGTTAGGTCAACTACATAGGTCAAACTAGTAGGTCGGGGGTAGTCAGATTGTCGGAACATAAGAATTTAGCTAAGGTAAGAATGGTTGACCCCGAGAAGATAAGTAATTTAGAAAAAAGCTCAGCAATTGCACTGCATGCATTAACACACAACCACACAATAGGGTGGGAGAGGGTTAAAATTCTATGAAGTAATATAGGTAGGTGGAGAGAGAGATTGATTACTGAATTCTGCCTGGTTCATCGAGTCTACACACAACACAACACATGCAACAGAAATGACTCAATGCAAATACCACAAATATGGAAGATATTATTACCACCAATCAGTCAAATCAGAAGAGGATAATAAATAATCTGAAAATTCTATTTCAATTCAAGTACATCATAACATTCTAACAAGTTACTTATTTTGACCATAAAAACTTCTTGTTTCCCATCTGACTGTATGTGATTGATAACACTCATATTATTATTTCTGAATGCACTTTATCCTATATTGATTTTTATTCAAATGTTTAATGAATTCCACTCATGTATATAAATGAAGTAAAAAGGTTGTGTGAGTGAATTGATCTGATTATGAGCAGTAATAATTTGTGCTCGAAACGTGGTCATCAGTTAATATTACTGTATAACACTACGTGATTTATCAAAATAAAATCTTTATAATGGACATTATAAAAAGTACTAAACCCTAATTCACCCATAATCTTGTATTTTGAGCAGTATGCCGTTCGATTTCAGTCAGGATATCATTAAATATCCCCATTATTTGTTTTTGATTTTCCCATTAATTGACTAGACTGGACTAAAGGGTTCAGCCTCGGCTGCTGGTATGAGCGCTTCAACCTTGCCTGGGGACTAACTTGAAGTAATTTGATGTATGGTGACAAGCAGTGTAACCCAAGATGGGCATTTCCTCCTATTTGGGACTCGTCATCTGTATGTACTTCTGGGTCCAGTGCTAGTCACCATCCACCATCAAATTACTTCAAATATTCCCATTGTTGAAATTTTATAAAAAAGGACATGTAAGTGAACAATACTGTTTTCAGTTAGATCTTCTTCAGACTTTATGCACAGACTCTTATGTACATGGCTTGTTAATATAAAAGACTTTAACCTATAACGGTGAATTTTTGGACTACAAATAATAAGCATTAAATAGTGCAAATATCCCAATAATAACGACGATTATAATAATTTCCATGAGTTAATTTCCAAGACATTTGATTTGTATTTTTCAATTTTCACCACAGATTGATATCACTGAGAGAATATTGAAAACCAGGGAGTACTAGACACCTGCTTCATCCAAGTTTGGAACTCATTGGCAGTACGCATACACCAGTGTTTTGAAATCAGGACCTTCCGGTTACAAGACAAGCTTGTAGACCATTCAGTCATTAGGACCCAACTCTATGATCGGATCATGAATTCTAAATTTTAGCGCGATCACCAAACATAATGATACTTAGGTCAATTATAACAAAAGTACGAACAGTGGATGCAGGTGACGATAAGAATAATAAAGCTAGTATGATAATGTAAATAATTCCATGAATAAATTAGATCAAAATATTAAACATTACGAATACCGAAGGTGAAGTGGATAGATGATCAGAGTTTAAATGAACATCATAAAATTACGAAGGAAATGCAAAATAAGAAAGGGCGGGAAGTTTTAGTTAGAATTTATTCAGGCTAACGGAGAGACAAAGGTGGAACAAACTTCTTTTGTTGTTCTCTAGAATTTCCAAAACTTCGGCTATGCGTGAAAGGTGCGTTGGAATTTCTAGATGGTTAGTTAGTGCTTAACGGTGGTTTCTACCAAGCGTCAACATAATCTTTGGGGTGCGTTAATGATGATGGAGTACCAAGATATAACATTTAGACATAAGTTAGAGAGCCATTAAAAGCCAGGGAGTACTGGAAAGCGGTTTCGTTCAGTTTCAGGCCCTTCATCTGTACGCATTCATGACCCCACTGCCAGGAATCGGATCCAAGACATTTAGGTTACAGAGTGAGCTCGTCTATCATTCAGTCAATGGGATGCAATCCATTGATCAGCACATGAATTCTAGTTTCTGTCAATTCTTAACCTGAAGATTCCGGGTTCCATCCCTGTTGCAAATCGCTGTGGAGTCCCAAACTAGAATGAAACAGCCAGTTTTCAGTGGTTCTCTAACTGATATCAATCCGTGATCAAATTTAAAAGTAGTCAGATCCCTACAAACAAACAACACATTGGAAAAGTTGAATATGATGAATTTAATGTTAAACGACTCATTTCTTACCAGTAACAAATCTATACTGTACATCATATCCAAAGTTTGGATATTGAAGGTTTGCAAATATGGGTCCTTTTCTATCACCAGTATACGCATCATTGACAGTTGATTTATTGATTCGTAGAATTATGTCCAGTAGAGGAATACTGCCTGACATAAAACCTTTACTAGCTGGTGAATAGAGCATAAATTCACCAGCGCACAATCGGACTGGATCTGATGGTATAGGGGAGTGGGAGGTGTAGTCTGTAGAATGAGGTGTCATTGATGATGATGATGAAGATTTTGGTAGGATAGGCGAAATCCTTTCTAAATTCATCGGTGAATAGTTTTGTTGAAAGACAGAACTTGTTTTTAATTTATCTGTCATTAACTGATTGATATTATTGTTATTGCTTAACGCATTCGCACGATAATTGATCAGCTCCAGGGTCATTGAAGTGGGACACCTGTTCGAAGAAGTAAAAATAAAATCGATAGAAATAATAGTAATAATTATTATGATCATTATCATTATATTCAATTGGAGGAGAATATGTTGGGGAACTTGAATTATGATGAAGTAATCGAGGTTATACGCCCTTCACAACTGGCCTACATGTAATCATAAAATCAAGGTCAAAATTGGTTCAAAATTAGATCAAAGATTGATATCAGTGAGACAAGCAACAAAGGCAGTACTGGATATTGGTTTCGTCCCGGTTTAAAATTCCGCTTCAGTACGTACCCATGACTATACGAAGGGTCGAGGCGATCCCGTTGACGATTTAGCTACTGTGATGGAATCCAACTAACGATTTTTAGTGCAACCTACAGCCAAAGTCAACGGCGAGTATTTTTCATTACATCCACCCTGATGGACATCACTGGTCACGATTTCTTACTACAACTGTAGGCATTTTCGTTGTATAAAATGTCCTGAATGAGCAGTAGATTTGATCGAGATATTATTAATTATTATTATTGTTTCCTTTAATTCCTTGAGGAACATAGGGCTTCAGCCGTACGTCTCCATTGCGTTCGGTTCTCTGCTAGAGTCTTCACCTGGCTCCAAGTCTGCCCACACGTTTTCATCTCCTCTTCACATGACCTCCTCCAAGTCACCCTTGCATGACGACCAACTCGCCGCTTCCCTTTCGGTTTCCACTCAATGGCTTGTCTAGTGATGTCACTTGATGGTTTCCTCAGAGTATGGCCAATCCATCTCCATTTCTTCCTGCCTATTTGTTTCACAATCGGTTCTTGGTTGGTTCGCTCCCAGAGATGTGTGTTGCTGATCTTTTCTGGCCGGCTATCTGATCTTGAGTGTTACTGAACGAAGACAACTATTAATGAAGGTCTGTAGTTTGTTGGAGATGCTCTTCATGACGCGGATCGAGATGTTACTTGAGGCTAATTTCTTGTCTTTTCTTTTATATATGTATTCAGGAGATATTTGTGTTTGAAACATGTTCAGGGATCGAACAATGCCGTTTCCATGCAAGTCTGCATTCTTGTGAACTGAAGTCAGCTTAAGGAACTGTTGATGAACAAAGACTGCGGAACACCTAATTATTTAAATCTGAGTTAACACTTGCTGACAGACACAATTAAACGCAGCTGGATACTATATCTTCCAACCGACTGGTATTATTTGGGACAAAGAAGTTGGGCGGCATTACACTAACATGATGCCTGGCCTCTTGATTAAGTTGTACATTGTGTAAATAGACCTCAATAAACACTTAGAAGTAGGTATTTGCACAATCTAACCTCCAACCACCTACCACTAATCACATAATATCATTTTCTGAAATATTAGTCTACCTGCCATCTACTTACAAGTACTATGTAGAGATATTAAACAAAAAGTAGGTAAAGAAAGGAAGATTTATAATAAGTAGATTTGAGAAATTGTGTATTTTCTGCTTTGATTGACACTGTCTGACAGATTACCCTTTCTGTGCATATTTCGCTTGTTGTTTGTCACCACTCCAACTCATTTTTATGTCTATAAACTTAATTACGGTATTGATAAGACAGAGTGAGTGAGAGGGAGAAATAAATTAGATTGTTTTTATGGTATCTTCATTCTGATTTTTATTTATTTCTACATTTCTGCTTGACTGATTATGTAGACTGACAACTAAAGAGAGTATAAGGAGAAATTGCAGGAAATAGCGATAATAATAACAATAATTATAATAGTAATAATCCAAGAGATAAACTCTATACACAGACTTATTCTGATGAATTCCTGGCATATTATATCGAGTACCAGACCGTTTCAAAATAATTCCCGTAAATGACAATAACTTGAGGAAAAAATCAACTGAGATGATTAAGGACAATCAGTGGGAAGCTCTGCCTCCGCCTAGTCATCGTGCAAAGCGTCTCTGTAGTCTCGAAAGAACTGATATCCTCTGTTAGATTTGAGCCCTGTGTGTGTTGCAATCAGACCACTGAGGTATTCACGTCCACAATCGAACTCCGTATGATGATCTTGCCGAGACTAGTGTCGCATCATTCCTGTTGTAAGTGTACGTGTATAGATTTGATGAACAAGGACTCAGTGACCTACATATATTACTTTCTGGAAGTGTAGCTGTGTCCCCTCTTGTTTTATGATTGCATACATTGTAACTGATAATTGTTCTCTAAGTTTTTCATCCTGCACTTAGCTAAATTTGTATGTTCCTCTAACCTGACTACCTAAGGTCTACTGTTCTCTAATTTGGGCAGTAGGGTACTTTAGCCTGTCGAGCTTGTCCCTAAACGAATGTGTTAGTTTAAATGATGTGATATTAAAAATCCTGCTTGAGGTCCCTTCTGGAGTCCCTTCCTTATTTAGTAACACTGTGGATTCCTTAAGTTATTACTCGTTTCTATCTATCACAGTGCCCGAAATCTACCTTAAAGTGAAAAGTTAAGATCTTCAGATATGAGTAGGAGTAGTAGTGAGGAGGGTGAGCTTCTAGACACAAGCAAAAAGAGCAGTGAAAACTGGATAGTTGTTTTGTCTCAGTTTGGAAATCCTCAGCAGTACACACATGACTTCAGAAGGTATAGAAGATAGGATAATCAAGTTATGATATTGGCATAATTCTTTTAAGCCGGTTTTCACGCATTCTATTTTCGTAGGAGAATTACTGATAGCAATTTTTCTGTAAGAAATTAGGAAGCAATGAAAAATTCTAACCTAAAACTCTCCAATTTCTAGGCGAGAACATCATTACAAAACTAATGAGTTGAAATATAAATATATGGTTTTAAAGAAACTGTTGAAAAGAAAGGAGGCTCTTCTTTAACCGATACACTTTTGAGTGCATCAATGCATGAAAGGAGAGTTAAACAGTGTTTAAGCAGAACTTTTTGAAAAGAAAAAGCATTTCATACATTCAGAAAACTGGATTATGCCACTTCAGACTAGTTAGTGTGGTTCCTTTTTTGGGTTGGTATCTATTATCACGATTAATTAAGTATAAAACCAACAGACTGGCTGAAGAAGCAACGAAGGAAAGACTCCAGTTGAACATAGAGAAGACGGAGATGATGAAGATAACCAACCGACAGCAATAGCAACAACAACCAGCGCCAATTACCATCAAAGGGAGAAATTTGGCAGAAGTTACTTCTTTCACTTATCTAGGAAGCACCGTTTCAGCTACAGGTTGATGGCACTGATGAAGATGTCAAGGTCAGCCAGAATCGGAAAGACAAGATACGCCTTCATCAACCTGAAAACAGTTTGGAAATATTCTCCACTCTGCAGCATCAAGAACAGGATTCGGATTCTGTTCAACACAAATGTGAAGCCGGTCATCTTTTCCATATGGATCAGAAACTTGCACTGCGTGTCGGTCACGAGAAGGATTTCCACTAGGTTGTAACCTTTAATCAACAGCTGCCTACTTCACTGGCTGGCTCTATACAGAAGATCGAATGGCCGACCTAATAGAGTGGATTAGCGACAAGAAACCATGACAACAAACCAACCAAGAGCTGACTGATCGACAAATATGTAGGAGAATATGGAGATGTATCGGGGATAAGTTGAGGAGGCTTTCAAATGACATCACACGCAGTACAGGCCATCGCTCGATTGGAATCTCAATGGGAAGCGACGAGTGGATCGTCGGTGCGAGGTTGACTTCGAGGTGATCGTGTTACGAGGAAGAGATGTGTGGACATGGATCCAGTTGAAGAGTACAGTACCAAATAGAGTAAAGTGGAGATGTGTTGTTGAAGCCCTATGTTCTACTCGGAACCCAGAATAATAATAATAATGATATTTATATCAGTAGACGCCATTGTATTCATCAAGAATTGATACCACTCGTAAAAGCACTAAAAACCAATATGTATTGGTTGAACGTTTTGGTCTGCTTAAACAATCATTAGGAGTTTACCTCTACAGGAAGTTTTTTAACTAATTAGACTTCAGAAGAAAATATTTTATTAATGACTTTTATCCAGAAGTATAGACTTTACGAAGGAGTGAATGGATGCTATTTCAGTATTCAGCTGATTGTCATTTGATTCACGGTTATCAGAATTATGAACAACAATGCATCTCTCCTCTTTTAGCTGAATACCTACACGCTTCTGAAGACTGGTCGGTACAATTTGAAAGACTAGTAGTTACAGAATACGCATTAAAGTTTATTTTTCGATTGGTTGGAGGATTTCATCATGAGCTGATATCAGTTAGACAACCAGTGGAAAACCAACTGGGAGTACTGGACAGCTGTTTCGTCAGACCAGTTGTGGACTGTTCGTCAGTGCGTACTCTTCGGGGTTCGATCCCAAAAGCTGCTGGTTACAAGGCGAACTCGTAGACCATTAAGTCACTGGGACCTGATCCAATAGCCCATGACTTTTAACTTCTGCCAATTCATGACATAGAGCGACCACTTCGCAATTTCTCCTTCGATGAGTTACTGCCCCACCTTCAACCTGCTGTACCATACTGATCCTAGTTCGTCCATTTGCTATATATTACAGACTGATATGCACATAAATATGATAGAATAACTAGATGAAGTAGTTAACTTCAGTAATGAAGATATTTTCATCTAAGATGACATAAACATCTGATTGACAAGTGCCCGTAAGTATACAACCTAGATTCAGGGCCTTTTGCAGATCAAGACCGGTGACTATAGTGTAAATTCACTGATAGAAATCAGTCATCATTAACACAGCAGAATGGTACATAGTACTGACCATCCTGCAACGACCAGTCAGTAATGTTCGATTATAGTTTCAGGGATTAGGTCATATAATTGCAGTGACAAATGAATACTGCTATGTTCATATATAGCAGTAGTGAGGAACGAGAAGAAAGGAATACGTTGGATTAACAAGAAGATTCTAGAAGACTTGGACTTCACGGGTGATTTATGTCTAAGATCTTTCCCCTATCTAGGAAGAATCATTTTAGTTACAAGTCACATGGATGAAGACGTCAACACCAACCAGGATCGGAAAGGAAACAAAGACTTCAGTTACTCTGAAATTAGTGTAGAAATCTGCTGCACTGATTATGAAGGAAAAGATTTCGATTTCCAACACTAATGCAAAGTCTGTCAGAGGATCGGTGAACCACCAAAAGCACTTCAAAAATGCTTCAGACTTTCATCAACAGTTGCCTTCGCCTGCTTGATACTGAAGATCAACTGGCCAGAAAGAAAGAGCGGCAAGAACATGTCGCTCAACAAATATGCCGAATAAGATGGAGTAGATCAGACACATACTGAGGAGACTGTTGATTGAGATGGGCATCAGGCCATCGCTCGAGGGGAACCCGAAAGGGAAAAGATGAGTTGGAAGTCCAAGGGTGAAATGACGGAGATCGTGTGTTGAGGAAATCAGAGCTTATGTACAGTTGTGGAGGCAGCTAAAGAGAACTGAAGGGAACATCTGAAATGGAGATGTACCGTTGAAAGTCTGTGTTTCACTCGGAGCCTACCAGAATAATGTATATAATAATGTATATATATATGTTAAGGACTGAGTGTAGGGTACGATATTACATTTTTGTTCGAACAAAGGCAGGGAAACATGTCTACTAGTAGATGGGGATTAATTTACAAATTCTCTGAACAAATTTCATCATTCTTGTCTGTACAACTTTTGTGTGCATGTGATTTGACAATCGGATTAACTTTCTAAATCTTTCCATTGTAAACCGATTCCTATTTCATTTTTTTATTGCTTCACGTTCCCAGTGGAACATAGGGCTTCAAGCTAGAGGCTTGAAGTTTATGTAGCAGTGTTTATTTTTACAGGATGAGGTTGCTAGCCTCATGCCCAACCTTCCCTCTTTACCAGCCTTATTGCTGGCTTAGTGAAGTAAAGGAGTGCGTCGGCGGGGGATCGAACCCCGGACCATGTGCATGGTCAGCGAGCGTCCTAACCGCTGTGTCACCGGTGCTTTAATCTTTGTTTATATTATGCAGTTCAGTAACTGACTTAAGAAGTTTATAAGTTCTTAATTGGTGGATGGGGACTAGCAGTGGAATCCAGGATGCGCATTTCGTCCTGTTTAGGACTCGTCAGATGGATGTACCTGCCTTACGCAGAGTCCGATGATGTCCCCACCAAGGCTCGAATTCAGTGCCCATAGTTTCCTCTTAAATGAGGATATAATCTTTCTCAAACTCACAAGTATGCCTTGTTTACAAGTGCTAATTAATAAGTTCTTTAAGTCGGTCAAGGCTATGTATCGATTGACTGCCTGTAGCAGAAATAACACTCGGTAGTATGGTGTCACTAAATTAGGTGACCATAATGAACACACCCTTTTTCGACCCATATGAATACCGAAAGTTAGACAGCCACATATGATTCAGCGACCTATCTGCGGATGTGTGCATCTACAGAAAGTTGAGTGTTAATATATACATATTTGACATGAGTAAGATTTCACACTGAACCTACCGTAAACTGTTGATAAAAGATGCTTCAATTCCTTGTACATCATCAATATCAGCATTATGATTTTCTTTATTGATTACATTATGAAATTCTTGATCCTGTTGAATATAACCATTACCAGATTGTGTTCCATGTGATTGACTGTAGTAAGATGAACTTTCTAGACGTTTGATAAATCGTATTTGTATACGTTGTCCAAAGTTGCCTTTAAGTTTCCATTTACAATTATTCAATTTATTATAGATATTATTATTATTAATCTGATTATAATCAGTAGACTTTTGTGTTGATAATAAATCCTGCGGTATTCGAATATAACCAGTTGAATCAATCCCGTTACTTGAGATTGTAAATTCACACGATTCTAATGGAAGAGTAGAAAGATTCAAACAATAAAATCAGGGGTTAATGTAATAAAATAATTTAAAAGGTAGAATTGTCAGCAAATAAATTTTTGAAAATTAAATAAGTATACGACTTCGATCCCTAAGTGATGTACTCTTAAACCCCACTTAGCCAGTATTAAGCCTGATAAAGTGGGAGCTTTGGGCGTAAGGCTAAAGATACCACCACTATTGAAAACGTAGGACTCAAGGTTGAAGCCCTATGTTCCACTTGGAACGTTAATGAATGCAAAGTAGTAAGTTTTTGGTGACAGCTGGCTGCAAGCCATAATTGAAGACAACAATTTACGTCAGTGTTCACGTCCCGAATCAAGGTCATGAGAAAAAACAATAACAAAGCCTAACCTTGAGAAAATCACAGCCAGTCACGGCGGAGTTAAAGTGAGGGAATATGATTCACAGATATACGACTTGACTTTCTGAGAAGTGGCTACAAAGAGATGACAGAATAACCTTCAGCAAGAAAACAACCAACCAGAAAAGGTTGCTTCTCCGCTAACAATAACGCTAATAATAATGTACATAAAAATCCATAAATACCTCTTAATGTTCTCAATAAACGATCTGTTGTCTGGCCCTTGTCTTCTGTCGTTACAAGTTTACTTCTTGATTTATTGATTTTAAATTTCATCACGGGTGATTAGTCATCCGCCTTCTGAATGATCCACCCAAGAATGTCTCCGGTAATGATATTCACAGACTGTACCAGCTATATTCACAACTGAATAAATGACCTGCTTTTTTCAAATTAGTATGTTGCAATATCAAGCCACTATTATTCACAGTTGTTTAACGTTAATGTGACATTTCTGTACAGTAGTGTAGGCTTGTTTATTGATTTATCGATTAATTTAAGTATATAAAAACTAACTGATTTGTAAGAATTTGATTTATTTGGAGTTGAATTTCGTCAAACGTCTCCTAAGCCTTCTAAGATCAAGGATTTAGAAACGGTTGTTTATTCATATATTTTTGGGACTCTTCTGTAATACCCGCCCGCGATCTCACTAGCTACTAAACGCAAGTTATAAGGTAAGAGTCTTGCTATTTGTGGGTGGGGGGCCACGTATTCCAATACGGAATGGTACTGTATATCCTGAGTTGGCATAAGTTAGGAAAGGTAGCCCTTCGGGTTTAAACCCGACTGGGTGGATGGTGTCATATGTGAATGATAGGAATCAGCTTAAATTAGTAATCATTTTTTGACTCATCATGTGATCGGATAACTGTAAAATGTCATCGTATTTTTCTCACCCTCGTCTTGGTCAGATTGCTGACCAATCAGAATAGTTATTTTCTGCCTACCATATCCGAATTGTTAATTAAGCAGAAAGATCGATTTCCATTGCCCTGCGCCAATTTTAATGTGGTAAAAAAATACAAATATGACGTGCTTTTTCTAATAAAATAGGACCCTAACAGTTTTTATTTATTAATTATATTATTGTTTCTTTTAATTCCTAAAAGAAAATAGGGCTTCAGCTGCACGTCTCCAGTGCTTTCCGTTCTCTGCAAGAGTCTTCACCTGGCTCCAAGTCTGCCCACACGTTTTCATCTCCTCTTCACATGACTAATTCGCCGCTTCTCTTTCGGGTTACACTCGAGCAATGGCTTGTCTAGTGATGTCACTTGATGGTTTCCTCAGAGTATGGTCAATCCATCTCCATTTCTTCCTACCTATTTGTTTCACAATCGGTTCGCTCCCAGAGATCCCTCCCTGTTGCTGATCTTCTCTGGCCATCTGATCTTGAGTACTGAGCGAGGACAACTGTTAATGAAGGTCTGTAGTTTGTTTGAGATGCTCTTTATGACGCGAGGTGCAAGTCTCTGATCCGTATAGTGAGCTGCACTGACTTCACGTTGGAGTTGAAAATCCGGATCTTATTTTTGATGCTGAGTGTTGTTGTCCTCCACACAGACTTGAGAGTGGTGAAAGCTTGTCTTGCTTTTCAGATCCTTGCTTTGATATCCTCGTCAGTTCCGTCCGCCTGTAGTTGAAACGATGCTTCCCCGGTAGGTAAAAGAGGTTGTTTCTTTCAGGTTCCTCCCATTTATGCTGATCGTTGTCTGTTGTTGTTGTTCTTGTCCAGGAATCTTCATCACCTCTGTTTTCTCTATGTTCACCTGAAGTCCTATCTTCTCTGGATGCTTCTTCTGCCAACTTGTTGCTTTTCACTTGCATATCTTCAAGTTTGTGGGAAATCAGACATATATCATCGACGAAGTCCAGATCCTCCAAGTTTTTTGTGTGAGTTCATTTTGTGCCTGTTTCCTCATTGCCAGCTGTTTGTCGCATTATCCAATCTACTGGAATCAGGAAAATCATTGGCGATAGTAGGCAGCCGGCTTGTCTTACTCCTGTCCTCACTTCGAAGGATTCCGTAAGTTTCCCATTGTAGATTACTTGGCATGCAGCATTGTCGTAGAGCTAATGGATGAGATGTATAATTGTCGGTGGCACCCCGTAGTAGCGAAGTAGTTTCCAAAGCACCTCTCGATCGACGCTGTCGAAGGCATCTCCAAAGTAGATGAAGTTGAGATAGAGAGGTGACTACCATTCCAAGCTTTGTTCAATGATGATCCGTAATGTGGCGATCTGGTCAATGCATGACTTGTTTCTCCTGAATTCAGCCTGTTCCGGTCGAAGTTTTTCATCCAGGGCATGTTTGATTCTCTCCAGGATGTTGCGGCTTAGTATTTTGCTTGGGATGGACAGGAGCATAATTCCGCGTCAGTTCTTGCATTGACTTAGGTCTCCTTTCTTTGGTAGTTTGAATAAGTATCCTTTCTTCCAATCCTTGGTACCTTGCCTTCTTTCCACACCTTCTCCAGTAGTGGCATTATAGGCCAGTCTTTTTCTTTTGGCTCAGTGAAGCGGAAGGTACCACGGACGAATATGTGTATCTAGCATGTCAGTTAAGTTGTTCATTGCATCAGCATTATTATACCCCCGCATAATTCCACTCGATCATATCAACTGTCAGCGCGATCATATCAGTTAGTGACAGGTTCATAACAATCGGTAACATAGATCATAGAAAGATCATAACGAATTGGCATTAGGGTTATCCATTTCAGTATCGAAATAACAGTGAATACCTTGAGTTGAAGTGAATGCCTTCAAAATTTCAAAAAATCTTTCGTCTACTAATTAGCCATGCCCAGAGTTTTCTGATTATTCAGTAAAACAAAGAAATGGAGGGAGAAGTTAGAACATCAAACCACAAGTCAAGTGACTATGGAGTTACTTGTATTATATTAAAGTAGTATATTATCAGATATTTTCATTGCTACATAATTATTATTATTCCCTTGAATTCCGAATGGAAACTAGGGCTCCAATAGGAAAAATAAGTATGTGGATATAGAACGCCCTCAACATGTTCGAAGCTGCGTAGGCTGCTCAGATTGCCAAAGCGATAACGAGATATGGTGAATAAGTGTTGGGAATCTGTGAGAGCAGATGGAGTGTAAGTAGATTCTCCAAATTGTTACCTGAAGAATCAATAATCTACTCTGGTCATGAAGACAACAACCACGGGCACATTGATGCAGGGGCTATCATGATGTCACCGATAGCAACAAAGTCTCATTATGCAATGAGAACTAATCTCCAGCAGAATAATGACAGCAAGATTAAACTCAGATGGAAGAAAGTAAAAAATTATCCAGTGTTATGCTTCTACAAATAATGCAGACCAAGAGAAGAAGGAGGAATTCTACAGATAACTGAAAACAGTAATGGACAACAACCCAGCCAGATGTTGACATCGAAACACCAGTGGGTGATATGAATGTCAAACTGGGAATAGACACCACAGGAAGAGGACGCATTATGCATCTTGAGGCTCTTGGTGGAGTAAACGACAACGGATAGCCGTTTTTCGCAAACCTGTGCCCCTTCAATGATTCGGTGATTAAAGGCAGCGTGTACAAACACAAGAGCACGCATAAGGCGAAGTGGGTTTCACTAGATAGACACACCAAATATCAGATAGATTTCATCTGAATCTTAAGAAAATATGGAGCCGCAGGCTGCTGGACACACGATAAAGAAGTGGGGCCAATGCAGGTCCAGACATTTATCTAGTGTAATGAAAGCAGAAACTATGGGAACAAACAAAACAAGAACCAATCGTCCAACAAATATGCAGGAGAAAGTCGAGATGGATTGGACACTCGCTCAGGAGGCCGTTGAGTGACATCGCGCGACAAGCCAACGCTCGAGTGGAACCCGAAAGGGAAGCGACGAGTTGGTCGTCAGTGCAAGGGTGACATGGAGGAGATCGTGTGAAGAAGAGTTGAAACAGTATGAACTAACATGGATGCAAGTGAAAAGTACAACAGAAGACAGAAGCAAGTGGAGGCGTGCAGTTGAGGCCCTATGTTCCACTAGGAACCCAAGGGAACAATAATAATAATAATAATGAAAGCAGCAGGGGTAGACCGCAACCAAATGATGGAAGAAATTATTAAAGGATTACAAAAGAATTTTGTTCCACAAAGACTAAATAATTTTTTAACGATTTCTAAAACTTATTACTAGAATATCACAAAATTTGAAAAAAAACAAGTATGCGCTTTTTATGAGTACTACTGCAGACAAGCATGGATAATTGTAAGTCAGAATTTACTGGTGAAGTATTTTATGAAAATGTTGTTTTTCTCGAAACTTGGTGTTTTTCCTATATGTCAAAAAATTCCAATCTACGTGTTTAACTATCTGGTTTCCAATGGCAATCAAATGCAGACATTATATGCAGTAGTTGGCTAGTGAGTTGTGTATTACGTTATACATACCCTAGTCATTATGACAACAATAAAAACAAGTGACAATCTAACATGATCTGTACAATTTTCGTTTTGAATAGTTGTGTGGAATCAGTCTCGTAAACATTTTTGAAAATAATGACATTCTTTCAAAAAAGATAATAATTATAGTCACCATCAAAACATTTTG